ATTCCTGGGCATCAACCAATCGGCTATAACTGCAGTCTCTTGATGAGAAGAAGAAAATCACAAGTGAAAATGTATCTCTGACTACGCTGTTCTGAATCCTGCCGAGGAAAGTGACAATACCAATTTTTTGATAAACTTGTATTTTTTTGCACCTATGAATCAGAAGAGCTAATTGGCTGGCTAATTTATTTAAAAGCTGGCAAGGATCCATCTTGTAATCTACCGAGAAAGGGTGCGCCACTGATGAAAGATTAAAATCTTCTATCAGCTGTTGGTCCCACCACATCGAATAAAACAGCGGTCTGTCATGACAAACGGATGCACTTCTTAGAGGGAAGAAATGCATAAACGAGCGGCATGTTTATAAAGCTGCGTGTTGGTTAATTAACTCACTACCACAGGACACCAGATGTTTCATAAAGGTTTCTTTCATTGCTAAACTTACTGAACATGCGTTTCGGCATTTCTCAACTGAAAGACACTGCTTCAAAAAAGCGACAGTGCAAGTGGCATTGACCAATATCTGCAACTCTCTCTGTCGTTGTTCTAAAACAATTTAAAATACATGCGAGCAAATTTGAGCATCAAACTGCATACCAAGGTTGAACTTATAAAAGAAACCAGGTTCGAGCGAAGGATACGTTTTCACTGTCCACTTTGAATCTGGTGATAACGGTTCGCTGGTCACTATTTCAAAGAGACTAAGCTGATCTTCAGCGGGACTAAGCGATTCCACATAACTTCGCATGGCCAGTCGCGGGTCAACGGGAGCAGCAGGTCGACACAATCCTAAATAGTGCACACTAGTATGTCATACCCATATGAACTGTAACCATAGTAGAGAGCAAGCGTGAGCTCTCTTAATTGCGTGAGTGCATATTTTACAATAGCATACATTAACTTACGAGAGAAAACCTAGAAAGCTGATTTCTTGAAGAGACCATAGGCTCCCAAATAAACAAAGTATAGAAGTAACTCTAAACCTTGACAGGAAATGAGTTTTCTCCTTACCTTCCCCAGTAAATATGATCAAATATTTTAGGAATAAATGATCAGGATAGGATTTCTACATTTAGTAAACTATAATATGGTAAGGACCTCTGTGTACAGTACGTAAGCAGCCTGTGTGTACTGCATATAAGTGACTTGTATGCATTCATCTCCGCCATCCCCGACATCACAGCAGTATCATAGAACTATTCCAGCAACGGCAACTAAATTGAAAAATTAATTTTTAATATGTTGGTGAGAAATCAATATGAAATTTAAAAAAACAGTGTAACTAAACACTAATAACAACAGATGAAAAACATTTATTCTTATGCTGGAGCAGGTTAAAAAATAATTAATTCCTGAAAAATCGAATTTCAGAGCGTACTGAACCATCCATTTGCTTTTAAGCAGCCGAATGATTATTTTGAAAATGTAAAACGGTTCCATAGTATGCAGGCACTTGCGGTGACAACTGCATTTTGTATACCTGTTGAATAGAAGGCTGCCGTGGCCTTCTCAAACAGAATTTTTTCCGTTTAGGAGCAAAAAAGCTGTTTC